TAGCAGAGATGCTCCAGTCCCCTCCTCATCCTCGTAGCCCTCTGCTGGACTCTCTCCAGCAGCTCCTCATCTTTCTTGAACTGGGGAGCCCAGCACTGGACCCAGCACTGCAGATGGGGCCTCACTAGGGCTGAGTCCCTGCTTTAATGGGACTATGGCATTGTGGCAGTGCGACCCCACGAAGACCCTCACCTTACAGCAGGGTCACAGCAAGATGCTCGGTGCTAAAGCAGCCCAGCCTGGTGATTAATAGCTCATTAAGACAAATAACCCATCTGGAAAGGAACAGCTTCACAGCTAGGGTTGCCATGACCTTCGTAGGGGTTACATCCATGGGTCATTGCACCTTCTCCTGGGTCAGGCAAACTCCTTGAAGCAAAGCTGCCAGGTTTTGAAGCCTTTCTGCAAAGCTATGGGGTATCTCTGCAGGAGGAGCAAGGGGTGGTTGGAGAGGTTGTTTGCAAGAGGGAGAGATGGTGGCCTGGCCAAAATAGCATCGCTCAGGGGGCAAGCACAGGGTCTCTCTACCCTTGAGCGCACAGACAGGGAGAGGGGATGAGGGCTGAAGGGTCTTCTCATTTCTGCTGGTGCTGCTGTGTCAGGCAGGGGTGTTTCCTCCAGGTACCCCTGGGGACAAGACCCCAGTGGCTCCAGGAACCAGCTGAGCGTGTCCTGGGGCTGTGGTCACCTACTCGAGCCCCATCACCTGCATGGTCCCGCCTGTCTCCTGCTACCTCAGACTCCCCATGCCTTGCTGTCCTCAGCTGCTGGCACGCAGCTCATCCGAGGGACCTGCCTTTCCTAAAGCTCTTTTTTGTGTCTTTATGAATAATTTGGCAATTCTGCATTCGAAGCGGGGGATGTCTCTGGGACTGGGCCGTGTAATGCGTCCTGGCTCCATCCCGTTGTATCCCGGCTCCATGCCCCATTGCCCCAGGGCTCCAGAGCTGCAGAGGGCTTTGCTGCCAAGGTAAAAAAGCTGGGGAGCACATCCCTGATGCTGGAGCAGGAGGTGGATTTCGGAAGCCCTCAGCATGCCCGGCTGCACGGCTGATGGCTGGAGGGGGACCCTCCAGCCCT